GGACCCAGAAACCCACAGGGAGCTGCGGGGCCCTTTCTTTTTCTCTGCCACAGTTGTTGCCTTGCCCAGACATCTCACTTTTGCTTCTGTCCTTTATGGGGCCAACAGGAAGTGCCAGAGGTGGGTTTTGGGGGGTTTTTTGGGGGGGAGTCCAAAGGGGGAGGGGTTTTTCAAGAAGATTTTACCTTGCTTTCCTCAATAGGTGTAAACAATATATTCATTGATTCATTCATCAAACATTTAGGAGGCAGCTTTGTCTAATGGGAAGAGCACTGGGTTCAAATGCAGACTTTGCTTCTTGCAACCCAAGTGATGCTTGCAAGTCCTTTCTCTTCTCTGGGCCTCAGTTTCTTTATCTGTAAAATGAGGGGATTGGACTAGATCTCTTCCGTTCTTCGCAGCTCTGGATCTAGGATACTGTGTGACTTTTGGGCTAATTAGCTTCCAACATTGTCTTTTGCCATGTTTAGGGGCTGAGAGGTTGTAGCACAGTGGACCTGAGCCTAGAGACCTAAAGGCCTGAATTTAGACACTTCCTATATGGGTGGCCCTTGGCAAATCACTTCACCTCTGCCTGCCTCAGTTTCCTCAATTGTAAAATGGGGGCAATGGGAGCCCCTCCCTCTCAGGGTTGTTGTCATATTTGTAAAGGGTTTTGTGAGCCTTAACTCAGGCCGCACCAGGGCAAGAGTCTTCCGTCCTGACCAGTAGCAATTATTCCACTCCCCACAGCAGCTGGGAGAGCCTGCCCACCTCTCTCACCAGTCAAAAGTCCTGCCCAGTTGCTGTGGAGATGAAGCCACTGGTTATTTCCAGAGTTTGCTTTGCTTTCTTTCTCTCTTCTATTTCTTTAACAAGTTCACTTAGAGCAATGCACCAAAAGGAAATCAGAATCCAATGAATGTTTTCAAGTAAGGCCTCAGGATTTAATACAAACACCAAGACCCACATCTGAAAGTATCCATATTACATCTCAAAATTGGCCCCGTTAACTTCATTTTCTTTATTTCAGAGGCATTCAGGAATAAGTGACTTGCCTAGGGTCGCACAGTAAGTATCTGAGGCCAAATTTGAACTCAGGTCCTCCTGACTCCAGGGCCTCTCTGTCCACTACCTAGCTGCCCCTCCCTTTAACCCCCCCCCCCCCAAAAAAAGTTTAAAACTACATGCCTTGGAGGAGAGTAAAGAAAAGACAAAAGACGGCAGAACCAGAGTGTTACAGTTTCCTTTTTGACTGGCAGACTCAGTTCTTAGATTTATTCGAGCAAAAAGCACATCTCCCAACATGTATTTCAAACGCGTTCCGTAGAATGCACTATCAGAGCAACACTGAACACACTTGAACCTGCTTTTTCCTGAAAACCTGCTTTCACCTTTAAACTAAACTTACACCTGAAACGCTGTGAGAAAAGCTGTTCTCAGCCTTACCCGGCTTGATTATTGCATTCCAGGTGAACCTTTGTCTGTGCTCAAAAACACTGGAAACAGTCACGCAGCTAGTAAGTGTCATGTGCCTGAGACTGGATTCGAACTCATGTCCTTCTGACTTCAAGGCCAGAGCTCTATCTACTGTGCCACCTAGCTGCCCCCCTTGTGTTTCTTTAGAGCCTTTTCTGCTACTTTCTGTTCAGGCCTCCATGGCTCCTTCCACCTGGAATATTATCCCTGCAGAAAGGGGGCCAATTTCTTCCTTGTTCCAGCCCAATGGCAGTCCTGGGAGACTTCCAAAGGCCTCGCTGGCAGGGTGGGGACCATCTGGCCCAGTGGACTCAACATCCAATCCATTGCCATGGGGTTTGACTGGAATACTCGGAAAGCTCAGTCTTCCACAGATTCTCTGTCTTTTTAGTGTAAGTTTGACTTCTTCTTCTGATTCAAGTTCAACAAATGTTTCTCCTCTTGGTCTGCCTAATGCCCATTTCTTGGCTGAGTGGGGCCAGGGCAAGTCCAGGACCTTCACCACAAAGCCTTCTCTGCCTTCAGCCCTCTGCGTTATTTTGTTCAGTTAGAGACAGCAGCCTGATCGTTGACTTCCATGTGGCTAGGAAGAAGTCTGACCTATGCTTTCTACAAGTTGTGCTTCTGGTTCTAGACCCCAGTGTCCCCTTTGGGGATAATTTTTGTGTGCTTTTTTTTCTGCTAGTATTTTGTCACTGACTCAAATTCTGCTTGAGGTCTACTATGGCCCTTAACTCTTTAAAAAATGTTGTTATTGTTGTTTACCATAACCAGTTGCTTTTGCATTACAAAATGTCCATTATACTTTTCTAACATTAGCATTTATACCTATGACAAGATACTGACTGGTCCTGAGTTCAAATCCGACCTCAGACATTTGACACTTACTAGCTGTGTGACCCTGTGTGACAAGTCACTTAACCCTCATTGCCTCACCAAAAAAGCAAGAAAAAAGAAAATTATCTATGTGACCTTGGGCAAGTCACTTAACCCCCATTGCCTAGCAAAAAAAAAGAAGATACTGACTGGTCCAAAAAACCTTTTTTTTAGACTCTAAGATTTTTCCTAACCCAATGATTGCCGTGTCTCAAGGCCAGTCAGTTAGTCAATGAGCCCCCCAAAGGGTCTTCCCAGCTTCTTCTCAAAGGAGGGAATGTACCTAATGACAACCATTTGCCCAGGGACACAAACAAATTCAAAATCAATGTGGAGTTTTGAGATTTTGCTCTTTCTGTAGGACGCAAGGTTCTGTGGCTTCTTACAGGCATCTCCAGCATCACTGATCAGTGGGAGAGGCTGTGGGGAGGAGAGGCCTACTTCCTGTGAGGTGGCACCCTCTGTGGCCCCCAGGGAAGGCCGCTCCCTGATGCTGCTACTCTGACAGTGCTGGAGTGAAACCAGCCCCATCCAGAGGTTGGAAAGGGGGCCCTAACACGAGGGCTGGGGCTGGGCCGGTTGAGCAGGTAAGGCCTGTTCCCAACACTGAGACAACTACCAAAACAGGGGGAGGGAGAGAGAGAGAGAGAGACAGAAACAGATAGAGACAGAAAGAGGAGAGAGAAGAGAGAGAGAGGGAGAGAAAGAGAGAGAGAAACCTTTTCAGACAGAGACCCCCATCCTAGGCCTGAGCGCAACTGACGCTGGGGAGCTTTTTAGGGTTGTCACACAGCAGGAAGTCTGGAAAGCCTTCCCTTGGTTCCCAGCACTTTGCCACCACACAAAGAGTTGCTAACGAGATTTTGGGTACAGATGGGCCCTTTCCCTCTTTCTTTGCTCTCTTTTGGGTGAGCCGATACGTTTTCTTTTCCATGTTGCTATGTTAGATACTACGTGGCTCCAGAAAGCTGTTTGTCTAGACATAATATTGTGATATCTAGATATAATATCTAATCGAAATATGAGCAATCTAGGGGAGCCAAGCTGAGTGCTGGCTGGGGGGAGCTTCCTAAGGTCCCGGCAGGTGAGGGAGCACCTTCTCTCCTCCCTGAGCCTCCTCAGCCTCGCAGCCATGGCCGTGGGCAGAATCCGGGAGGACGAGACCCTGAGCTTCCTTCCTGGCTGTGACTGCTCCATAGTGCTGCTCTGTACCAATGCTCCAGCATTGCCTCTTGGTAGTTAATGAATTGGAAAGAGCTCCTGTGTTTGCCTGGGAGCTTAAGTCAGGCTGCATCACAAGAGTGGTCTGGGAGTCCCATGAAATCAATGCAGAGCCCAGATCTGACCTCCCAAGGCGCTATGTGCCCAGAGGCGAGTCACCCTTCAGTAAAAGCCCTCAGTTTCCTCATCTGTTTAATAGGGACCTTGGAAACCCCATAATGCAGACCTCTGCTTCACAGAGTGCTTGTAAGATCCAATGAAATAGAATCCCAGAATTCCCACGATGGTCATGACGGGGCCTCAACAACAGCCAGTCCAACCCATGATGGACAACACAGCCAAGTGGTCAGCGCACTCCCACTACCTCATGAAGGAGCCACTTCCACTTGGGGACAGCTTTCCTGCTGAGGAAGTAGGTCCTGTCCTCAATCTTGCCATACTCCTAGTCCAGAATGCACACCCACACCCATGTGCTTGGCCAAGGTAAATATTCCTAGTTCTCTCACTGATTGTCATCTGGCATGGTCTTCAGGCCCTTCCTCATCCTGGTCACCCCTCCTAAAACCGAACATCGGAGGGCACGTGTGACCAGGTATTCCTGGAAACTCGGCCTCTCCATCCAAACCCGGGTCCCAACTGGGGACTCCTGGAGCTTGGAAGCCACTCAGAGCCCCAGCTCTTTCTCAGAAGACTTCACCATTCACAGAGCTGAGAACATCAAAGCAAAGTTGTGCTACTGGAGAGCAGCTGTGAAGGGGGAGCTGGCCAGTGAGTGGGGCCAAGTGAGAGCAAAAGCCAGTTGGGTTTTGAAGATACCAGTGTTTCCAATTCAGTCATAGATTGCAGACTGGCAAAAGGATCGTAGAGTCCATCCTCCCACCCATTTTGCAGATAAGAAACTGAGTACCAGGAACAGGAGGGCTATACTTTATTCATTATCAGAGTGCAGGGACTTCCAGGACCAGGAGCCAAGATAATGGAGTAAGCAGGAAATTGCCTGAACTCCCTCAAATTCAGTGACCAAGGCCCTGCTGCCCTAACACAGCAGCAAACGAGTGGCCAGCCCTCCCCCACCCGCAGGCCCCTAGTAGCCCCACCCCCGCCCCATCCCAGCAAAATACCAGGCAAGTGGCCAGAAGCCCCTCCCCCACAGCAGCCCTGGTCCAGCACCAGGCGCCCAGAGGCCCCAACACAGCATCAGATGAGTGGCCAAGCCCTCCCCCCCCTCCCCGGTGGTCCCAGCACAGCACCAGGTCCCTTGTGATAAACAGCTAGGGCCTGCGGCCCCCCACACAAGAAGCTTGGCACGGTGCCCCTGCCACTCCAGGAACAGAGCTCAACTTTAAAAGTAACCGAGAAAGAAAAAAATAAAAACAAAACAAAAACCTGACCATAGAAACAATCAGTAATTTCACCAGAGAATGAGAACAGTGAGACGGCGTAGCCAAGTTTATCTCCAGCAGAGCGCAATGAGGGGAAATTTTATTTGATTTCTCTGACCTCTTCCAACATTATCACACTGGGGGACAGGAGCAGGACTGCGAGAAGTGAGGAGGTCTATTTGAGAGCTTGGGGCAGGCAGCTGGGAGAGGGCGCTCTTCAGTAGGCCAGGGGTTCCTCAATCTTCCCATTCATCATCCTCATCCTCCTCACCCCCCTGGTCCTCCCCTTCATCTGTGAGTGAAAGAGGGCGCAGAGTGAGTGAGCGAAGAGTAGCAGAGCCCTGGGACCCGAGCACAGCCCAGCCCACCAGGAGGCTCCCACCAGGACACTCCCACCCTGCTCTCGGGGAGGAGGGCAAGGCTGGGGGTTATTTCACTTCTCACCTGAAGAGTGGATAACTTTGCTCCGCTTTTGCATGACATGCATGAGGGCCCCCACCAGCCCCTCAGAGCTTGGGGGAGGAGGAGCTGGGAACTCCTGCGCCCCAGGTGTCTGCAAAGAAGGCCGGATCCGGTCTAAATCTCAGACTGGGCACAGCAAGCAAATGCATGCCCGCCCTCATCCCAGCCTTTTGGATTGCCCATCTTGCCCTCCTGTTCATCTCTCATATTCTTTCCCTTTGACTCAGTACCGCCACCAACATCTCCTAATAGCTTCTTCCCAATCCTGACCCAGAGCTCCCCACCCCTGCCAAGCACCAGCCAGCCCCACCTTGTTGAGCTGAATGCCTTGTCGGATCTCTTCAAGCAGGGCCCCCCGGCCTCTAGGGGCCACACTCCCCCCAGATATAGATGCAGATGGTGCGGATGGTGCAGATGGTGGAGATGGTGGAGATGGTGCAGGTGGTGGTGGTGGTGGAGGTGGGGGTGGCCCTGACCCAGAGGTTGGTGGCAACAGCTGTGGGGGTGCTGGAAGCCCCAAGTGGGAGGCAGGTGGTGGGGGAGGTGGGGGACCCCCCCGGCCAGGAGGAGGTGGGGGCCCCCGTGGAGCTGGTGGAGGTCCACTAGGGACCCCGCTAGTCCCAGAGGGCACTGGCGGGAGGGGACCTGACCGGCCCCCCCGGCTCCCAACCACAGAGGAGCCAGGGGCCCGCTGAGAGGGCCCAGCACGAGATGGGGGTGGAGGGGGTGGAACATGGCCTAGGGACACCAGAAAGGCAAGAAGGGAGTGCATGGTTAGATGGCAGGGTGCATGAATACCTCCCTTCCTCTGGCCCTTCTCCCTCTGCCCCCTCCCTCCTCCCCCCTCCAGATCTCCCTAGGAAGGACCGGCAGGGGCTGGAGCCTCTGGGGCCTGGCCTCAACATTTGGAGGTTTTCATGAAAGCATGGGGTTTCCAGGGCCCTGGGGCGGAACTCTCATGGGGCCAGGGTAGGGGTGCTTACCTTGCCGCCTCATCTCTTCTCTGACGGCCTCTAGCCCACCTTGGTCCTCAATGAAGTCGTAAATGAGCTTAGAGGTCTCTGCATCAGTCAACTGGGCCTCGCTAATCCCAGCTCTGGAGAAGAGGCTCCGCAGGTCAGGGTCCAAGTTATTCACCTGTTGGAGGCAGGATCACAGATCCCACTCACCCTAAGGCCTAATCCTAACTCCTTCGGGGAGGGTTTAGAGGAGCTAAGAAGAGGGACTCTGTCCCGTGGGGATACGGGAACGTACATCAAATCCGCTGTGAGGGTCCCATCCAACATGGCTGACGTGCCTGGAGAGGGCAGAAGGCTTGGGTTAGGCACAGGACAGAAGCATGGGGAAGGCATCTCACCCTCCCCAGATTCCCCTGTGCTCTTTCCCAATTCCGGGGCTGCTCCCCGCCAAATAGGAAGGGCTGTCCCGCCATTGCCCCACCTTCCCCCCTTTCAATCTTAGCCTTTCAGAAGCTCCTCCAGGAAGCACTGTGGGGATCAGCCTCTGCTTCTGCCACCCCGTTGTCACTGGCTCCTCCTTCTGGGCTTCCACTGCCTTAAATAAGCTCCCTTGTAGGGGGAATTGGCTGTTCTGGGTCTCCCACTCCCAGCCGTTTAATCTGACTGAACAGAACAGACTCTTCCCAAGGTCATCAATGACCTTATCTCAAAGACCAAGTCCTGGGGGCCTTTTCTCAGGCTCCTTCCTCCTTTTCCAAGACTTGACCTACTTCTGGTTGTCCTCCTACTCATCTGATGATATCTGAGCCATTGCCATCTCCTTTCCCCAAAAGCTGGGGAGCCCCAGAAGTCCTGGCCTGGACTCCTCACCTTCCAAGATTTCTGATGTCACCTATAGGCCAGGCTCCATCTCCAACTACCTGAATAGCCAAAGCTGAGCTCAAACCCAGACTTTCCAATTCCTGCCAAGGCCACCAACAGGCCCCCCCCCCTCGCCCCGGCTTCCAGGAGCCACCCCAGAGGCCTTAGCCCTTCTCCAGGGGTCTCCCTGGAGGTTCCTGCCAACCCTGCACACTCTGGTCTCTGAGCTGTCCCCAGAGTTGTTCCCCCCCCCCCCTCAACCAATTCCTCCAGGTGAAAGGGATCTCCCAGGCCTCAGAGTCCCCAGAAAAGTCTGCTGGGCTCTCTACCTCCAATGGGTCCCATGCTGATTAGAGCAGATGCTTGCTGAGGGCTGGGGGGAGGAGTACCACTGTTGGGTTTGGGCTCTACCTCACAAGCGCTTTCTAAATGTCTGGCACACCCATTCACATGGGGGAAGGGCAGGAGGGAGACAAGCAGCGCTGCGGCAGGGGAGGAAAGAGCCTCACTTGAACCCGCTGGGGGCCCCAATGTCGGCCTTGCTGATCTTCTTTTTCCCTGAGCGCTTCTTGTCTGGGGGAGGAGGAGTTGGTGCAGGGAGCCCCCGGTACCTTGAGGATGTAATATCTGGGTTCTGTATGTCTACAGCGACCAGGCCCAGAGATGGGGAGCCCAGAGTACTGGCTGGGACTAGAGATGGAGGAGGAAAAACAGAAGGAGACTGATTGAAGTGGGAAGGGTCACACTCATGGTTGTCCATCCCTGTCTGGCCCTTTCTCCCTGCTTACCACTGGGGTCTCCACTGGGTTGGGGAGGAAGAGGTACAGTGCCCCCTCTTCTTTCTGTGCTGAGAGATCCTGAAGGGTGAAGGGTAAAGGTCATGACCTTTCCCTTGTCCAGCCTTCCCCCCAGCTCAGCACCCACCCAAGAGAACATCATTATCTGGGGCGCAGGGAGGAGGAAGGTGATGTGTGTGCACGCACGTGTGTGTCTGTGTGTGTGCGTATGTGTGCGTGTGTGTGTGTGAGAGAGAGAGAGACAGAGAGACAGAGAGAGACAGAGAGAGGAGACAGAGACAGAGACAGAGACAGACAAACACAGAGAGAGAAACAAAGACTCAAAAAGAGAGACCTTGAGATGGGGAGAGAGATGGAAGGCCTGGAAAGCCATGGGAAGGAAATGGAGAGGCTCCCTCTCATTCCCCTCCTCTTGGCCTCTTGGCTCTCACCAGCATTCTGTTTCTGGCTTCGTTTCTGGATCTTCTCCTCCACCAAAGCTTTGAAGGCTTGGGCCTCAGCCTCATCAGCAAAGTTCAGGCCAGCTTGACAGTCCTGGGAATGGACCCAATCCCCGTGTCCCCCCCCCACCCCAAAGTGGTTAGCTCCAATTCTCAGGGTACTGCCTCATCTTCCGTCAAACACCAGACTCCCAGATCCTTGAAGCCACGTAAAAACCCTCATCCCTGAGTCATCTGAACACCCGCTCCCTCCACCCCCACCCCCTTTGTCCAGTTACTCACATCACCAGGAAAGGTATGGAAGAATGGAGTGGGAGCAGAGTAGACAAACTGAGTATAGATTTCCTGCTCCCAGAGGAGGCGTCCTTCCTAGTAAAAAGAAAACTAAGAGAGTGAGACAGAACGTAAGACAGACAGTCACAGAGAGATCTTGTACTGGCTTCTACCTGGAGGCCATAGAGTCGGATGAAATAAGAACGTCGAGGGTTGTCTTTCACAAAGCAAATGGCTCCACTCAGTTCCTTCTGCCAGTGCCCGCCGGTGCTGGGTAGTGCCAGGTATAGCTGGGCCACTGAGGTTGCCAGAGTCTGTCCTCGGGCAGCCCCCAAGACAAAGAGAGAGACAAAGTCAGCGGAGACTTGAAAGGGACCTGAGAACATTAGGCAGCACCCCCCAGGAATCTGGCTTTAGCCCCCCCACCCCTTTCCTGAGGGAGGGTCCCCAGCAGAGCAAATAGAAAGGGCTTTTCTGGAAACACCCACCAAGCACTTTCTGCCCAGGAGGCCAAAGAGCCGCTGGTTCTCATGATCCTGCAGAAGGCCAGAGGGTACATTCTGCTGGTGTTGCGGGGGCCCTCCCCGATACCCCCGGCTCATGGCAGCCTCCCCTTCTTGCCTTCCTCCTCGCCTTGCCTTCCCAAGTAGCCCCAGTGATCGGGTAAGAAGGGGAACTTCCGCACCCAGTGAACAGGAAGCCAAGAAAACCACATTGCCCCAAGCCCAACCAATGGGCTCCTGGGGCCCCAGCCTAGCCTGGTCCTCCCTCCCAGGAGCTGCTCTCCATCTTCCTCTCTCTCTCTCTCTCTCTCTATCTCTCCCTCTCTCTCTCTCTCTCCTCTCCCTCCTCTCTCTCTCTCTCTCTCTCTCTCTCTCTCTCTCTCTCTCTCTCTCTGTCTCTCCCCTTTCTCTCTTCGGCCCTCTTATCTCTTGCCATCTCACCCTACATTTCCCTCTCTGGCCCCAGGAAGACAAAGGAGCACTGAGGACAGGCCCTGAAAGGACAATGATTGTGTCTGTGTCTCACTTTATTTCCCAGGCTTTGCTTCTCACTGTCTCTGTTCCTATCTTCCATTCACTTTCTGGGCTTTATTCTGCCTGCTTTCTACCATTCTATGTTTCTCTTCTCTCCCCATCTCTGCCTCAATAAGGAAAATGAGATGTTCTTGCAATAGGTCTCATGGGAGAAAGACCTAGGTTTCTTGTCGGCTTCCCCCTTCTACTTGCTAGGTCAAGGTAGGCCAGTGACTTGGATTCCTGAGCAAATTCGTTGTTGTGGAGTTGTTTCAGTCATGTCAGCATCTTCGTGACCCTATTTGGGGTTTTCTTGGCAAAGTTATTGGAGTGGTTGCCATTTCCTTCTCCAGCTCCTTTTACAATAAGGAAATGAGGCAAGCAGGCTTAAGGGACTTGCCCAGGGTCACACAGCTAGTAAGGGTCTGAGGCTGGATTTGAACTCATCAAGTTAAGTCTTCCTAACTCCAGGCCCAATGCACTGTGGCGCCACCTGGCTGCCGCAGTCAAATTCAAGCATGCATTAATGAAGGGAGGGTTGTTACCATCCAGCACACCAAGAACACGCCACGTCGGACTGAAAGACCACAGCGATGTGGGGGCCAGGCCAGGGAGATGTGGGTGGTAGCCAAAGGGGAGTTGAGTTAGATTTGGAATCAGCAGGATCCCCAAAGTAGTCACTAATAGTTTGCATTTCAACTCAGAAGGTCTCCAGTGGAGTGCCTCGGGGATCTATGCTTGGCCCTGTCCTGTTGAATATGGACAAACACACACACAGTGTTCAGCAAATTTGCGAAAGACACCAAGCATAAGGAAAGCTGTTGACTGAACCAGCGGCCAGAAAGATCTTGGGCCCGAGGGACTGCACTGAGCTTCAGAAAGACCAGAAGGAGAGACCTGGCTTGACAAAGATGCAACAGAGAAAGATCTGGAGGGGCTAGAAATTCTCACTAACTAGAAGTCCACTCTGTGTGTGTGTGTGTGTGTGTGTGTGTGGGCATGCATGATGTGCTGTGTGCGTGTGTCTATGTTGTTTATGCGTGATGTGTGTGCATGTGACTTTGTGTGTGCGTGGGATGGTGTGTGTACACATGTGTATATTGTATTGTATGTGTTGTACATGTATGTGGTGTGTATGCGTGGATGTGCCTGGTATTGTGTGTGGTGTATGTGATGTTGTGTGTGCATGGTCCGGTATGTGGGGGTGGGCACGGCAGCTGGGATTTGGGGCTACATCATTATGAAGAGGTCTGAGGAGGGGCCTTGTTCAGACCCTGGTGAGAGGCCTGGCCTCTCCTCTAAGAACCAGATTTGAGAAAGGACATCGAGTGACTGAGAGCCATCCTGGAGAAGCGATGATTCAGGGGGACATGAGAACTGCGCCCAGAAGCAGCCAGTGGGGAATGTCCTCAGTCCCAGGGCCGTTCCAAAGGGCCTGGCAGGCCTACAGGCAGAGGGAGGAGTCCTTGTTTAGGTCCGGGTTAGACTGGAGGCCAACTCTAGGATTCTGGGAACCAGGAGGTTCGTCATGTGAATCCCGGCCCTCCTTTCTTCCTCTCTGGGGCCGAGGACTCAGACACAACCACACGAGAGCCAGGGTTCCCAAATTCTCTTTATTTTTTGCATTTTCTCAAACATGAAGCCAACAAGTCAATCTCCTCCCCATTGGGGAAAGGGGTCTACAGACACCAGGCCTGGGGTTGCTTCCGCCTGGGGACTTTGATCCCTGCAGGGAGAGGGAACCCAGCCCAGCCTGGCCCTTCCTCTGGATTGTTCTCAGCCCCAGGAGCCCTCCTCCCCCCTCGCCCGCCCAGACACACAAACACTCAGGGTCTCCCACATCTCCCCATGCGCGCCCGACAGCAGACGGAACGCATGGCAGTCGCAGGCTGGGGAAGGCTCCAGCTGGGCTTCTGGGTCAGTGGCCCGCCCCCTTGCTCTGGCCAGTTACTGCCCAGTCAGTGAAGATGAATCCCAGACTCATGACCATGACCACAATGCCCAGAGCTGCAAAGGCGGCTGCCTGTGGGACCAGGAAGAGGAGCTAAAGGCCGGGGCGGGAGGCCAGGCCCCAAGCCGGCCTGGCTCAGCCCCACACAATCTCATCCATGGTGGGCTCTCCCAGACATTCCCCTGGGCCTTGGCTCTCACCCTCCCCTGCCTCCCACCCAGCTGCCCCTCCTTCCTGATCTCCGCTCTTTGATGGGCATTTCTACCCCCACACCTGGATCTTCGGGCGAGAAGCCAAGGATTCGTGGTCCCTGGGGATGATTCGGATGTAGAAAATGCTGGGAAGGATGAAGATGAGACTGGGGGCCGAGGTGGCTCCTGCCAGGAAGGAAAGGACGGTCACGGTGGCCCTCTGGGGGCAGCAGTTGGGAGGGGCAGGGGAAAGAGGGGAAACTGACCAATGACTCCGAAGATGTCCCGGATGTTGGGCACAAATATGACGAGAATGTTGACCAAGGTGAGGAGCCCAAGGGCGATGGTGCCATGGCGGGCCCAGCTGAAGGCCTTGGTCGGGAACAGCAGCTGCTGGATAGCTCGGCGGATCTGGAGGCAGGAAGACAATGCAGGGGTCATGGAAGGCCACAGGAGCCTTCCCCCTTCCCTCTTGGCCGCCCTGGGCCCTCCCTGCCCACTCCGTCCACACACACCCACCGGGAAGAGGACGACGGGGACAGTGAGGGTGACAGCCATGAGCACGGCCAGTCTCACACAAAGGATCAGCAAGTCTGTCTGACTGTACAGATGTAGCATCTCTGCCTCCACGTAGCCTGGGAAGGGGGCATGCACACACATGCATGTGCGTGCACGCACACAAGCGCGCGCGCACACACACACACACACACACACACACACAGATGCCGACCAAGGGCAGGAGCCTCCCCATTCCCCTGTCGCTGGGCCCAGGGCCTCAGCCTCCCTCCTCTCACCAAAGAAAGTGAGGTAACCGAACGTTGCTGTCAGTCCATACATAAGAAACATGGCCCCGATGGACATGTTGGCCACGGCCTGCATCCGGCGCTGGGATGGTCTGGGCACAAACAAAGGGCGCACATCCGCATTCCTCTGAAGCTTTTCCTCATTTGGGGGCCCCCACCCCTTTCTCTTGCCCTGGTTCCTCAATCCCCAAGCTCCAGGTCCCACCATCATCCCAAGCCTTGGCCTGGCTTCCCTGGCCCCCAGCTGTGGCATCCCTCTGTACCTGCGCAGCTCTGTGTAAATGGGGAGGACCTCCGGATGGCAGACGAAAGCAAAGGCCAAAATGGGGATGGTGTAAGCTGTCTGGGGGGAAATCTGGGCTGGAGCCAGCAGGGATGGTGGCATGATGGCCCTCCCGTCACTTCCCCCCCCCCCCCCCCGTTCTGTCCCCTTACTGGGGGTGGCTGCCTTGCCCTTCTGGGAACAATGGGGATGGGAATGATCCTCCAGGTGCCCGGCACTGGGAAACACAGCAGGCTGGCGGGCGGTGAGCAGCTAGGTGAGGGAGGGGAGCAGGGAAGGCAGCCTGACCTGGGAATTGATGGTGATGAGCCGGACTTCACAGGTATCGTTGAGGCCCTTCAGAGCCTCCACAGTAGAGTTCCCATCAGTCAGCGGGCACTTAATTGAGAATTTCTTATAGATCACCTGCAGGGGGTGGGAGCAGAGGCAGATGGGGTGGGGTTCCTATCCCAAGGACCCCCCCTCCCCAATCTCAAAGGCCCTCAAACTCACAGAGGCAAGGAAGAAGACCATGCAGGTGAGGGAGAGGCCGCTGGTATAGCCCAGGTACCCTGTTCAGGGTAGGGAAGGGTTAGACTCGGAGCCCTCTTCCTTCCCATCCCTTTCTTTCCCTCAGGGAGTTCAGTTTCTCCTTCCTGACTCACCCAGGTGTCTCATGAGGGCCAGCGGCAGGATGATGCCAGCGCTGACGAGGACGATGAGAACGTTGCCATTCAGGAACCAGTGACTGTGAAGGATGGCGGGGGTGAGCGAGACCCAGGCCAGGAGGCCGAGGTGCCCTGAGGATCCTGGCAGCGCCCTCGAGCCCATCAAAAACCGAAGCCAAACCCACACCTAGTGAGTCTGGGTCAGACATTCTCAGACACTGACCCTCCTGGGCAGAACCCTCACAGCTGAGCAGTCAAACGGCTGCAACAGATGGCCAGTCAGTTGTGATGTGGGACAGCCGGTGCCCAAGGCTGGCCAGGCAAAGTGAGACAGGCGGCGGAGCACAGCCAGCCAGGTCCAGGGAGAAAAGCCCGCCTGGGGAAGTGGGGGGCTCCCCTTCTTTTGGCTGGGGCCCGCTTGGCAGGGATATTGCGGAAAGGAAGCCTCGATCAAATGTGGGCTGGTTTCTGGGGTACCTCCCAACTCTCCCATGCTCGGCTTCCAGCTCCCTCCCCACTCCCCCCACCCTCCCAGCCCCCTAGTCAGAGTGCCAACTGGACAGCCAGGTCAGGGCGGCAAAATCAAAAAGAGTGGCCAGCAGTGCTCCCGGCGGGAGAGTCCAAGCAAGACAGACGGTCGGTGAGAGATGGCCAGACATCCTAATTGGGACAGCTGGACAGCCAGTCGGGCCAAAACAGCTGTTCATGCGGTGCCAGATTGTCACAGCTGGACAGTAAGATCAAAACAGCTGGGTTGTCAAAAGCCAGGCTGAGACTGAGGACTGCTCAGGGCGAGACAGCCAGAGCAAGGTGACTCAGGCCATTCCCAGCTGAAAGCTGAGCTAAACCAGATGCAGTTGAGAGCAAGACATCTCGGTACAAAACAGATGTTTAGGAAGACAAGAAACAGGGGAAGGCCTGAGTATATGTGCGTGCGTGCACGTGCGTGTGTGTATGTGCTTGCGTGTGCTCACCTGGAGTCAGTGACCGTGGAGTCCAGGAAAGCCCAAATGACCAAAGGAAGCTCTGATTTGATGATGTAAAGGTAACTGGACATGGCTAAAAGGAGGGAGGGTGGGAGGAAGGAGGGTTGAGCCTTGGGCCACGCAAGCTCCACAAGCCCAGGCCCCTCCCCCTGCCACGGCCCTGCCAACACTCGATGCCAGGCCTTCGTGCGGCCTCACCCCCAATGTTGTGCAGGCAGATGACTCCGGCAGCAGCTACTTTTCCGGATGTCCCAAAGGCTCGGCGCCCCAGCTCCTCGTATGCCCGGATCCCTGCAGAGGGGATCAGATTGGCAGGGATTGGGGCGGGACGGGACAGGACAGGTCAAGGGAAGGGCAGGGGAACAGTGGGGCCGGGTTTGTGTGATGGAGAGAGGGAAGGACTCACCGACAAAGCCGGCACACGTGAGCAGGAGGTGGATGGAGTAGGCCGAGAGGAGGGCCATGCACAACAGGAGGGCTCTGGGGGAGGCAGCAAACGGGGCTGGGCTCAGCGGGGAAGCCCTCCGTGCGGTGCCCAGAACCCACCCCAGGCCTGACGGCTGCACTCACAAAAACAGCAGGATGCCGGTGTTGGCCATGGCATAGGCTAGCCCCAGGATTCCGCTGCCCATGATGGCGTTGCTCAGGTTGAACATTGACATACCCAGAGAAGTCTTCCCTTCAAACTGCAACATGGGACAGGAGGAGAACATGAGACTCAGAGGCCGGGGGGAGAAGCATGGGAACAAGGAGGAAGGTGGGCCACTCACATCAGAGAACGGGACAGCCTTCTTCCCGGGGGGTGGCCGGGGCAGGAAGCCGGCAAGCTCAGCCTGGGATCTGGAGGGGGGAGAGGGCCTCGGCTCAGGATTTCTGGGCCCTGCTGCCCAGACCCAGCTTGGGCCAAGTGGGCCTCCCCAGCTCCAGCCCATTACTTACTGCTCAGGCTCTGGGGGTCCCCTGGGGACCAAGCCATTCATCCTAGGCTCCCCCATCATGAGTTCCATCCTGGAAGAGGAAGAGGCTGGGCCTAGGCAGGAGTTGGGGATAGGGCCAGAGAAGGACAGAAAGGAGTTCCCTGTACCTCTGCCCCCCCCCCCCCCCCCCCCCCCCCCCCGGGGCCGGGCTAGACAGCCCGGTTCCCCCCCCCCCCCAGTTCTAGGCACATGCTCCTGTCCATGTGTAAGGGAGGGTGTCTGGGAACACAAGGGCTGATGTAACCTCCTGAGAGAGATGGAGAGAGGAGGGAGACACAGATAAAATGTAGCTGCTGGGGCGATAGTTGAAACTTCTCTTTCTATGTTCCCAGGGCCTACACCCATACCTGACCTGGAGTAAGAGGTGTTTCAGAAATGCTGGGGAAAGGGGAGGTAGTGCCACAAGCATGTGGGGGCCACGAATGTGGTAAAGGGAGAGAGCCGCAGACAGAGAGGGGGGGAACAGGGGCACGGACAGGGGGCCATGGACTGGGGGGGGCGGAATGGACGGGGGGAGGGGAGGGACAGGGCCATGGGGGGGGGGGCGATGTGGGGGGGGGGGGGCAGGGCGCCGGTTCGGGGAGAGAGGGACAGGATGGGGGAGCGTGGCCGGGAGGGGTGCCAAGGCCACGGATGGGGGTGCGGGGGGAGACAGTCCGGGCTGGCCAGAGCCCGGGAGCATCCGGCAAGGCTAGGGGCCGGGCCAGGCTGGAGAAGCCCCGGCTCCCAGGCCCGCTCGCTCACCCTGGCTTTCCTCGGGATCGGATGCAGAGCCGTCTAGCTGCGCGCTGGCGGGGCTCAGTGGCCAGACCTCAGCCTCTCCCGCCTCCTCCCCCTCCTCCTCCCTCCAGGAGCCTAGGCCCCGCCCCCGGCCCCATGGGCGCCCCGCCCCCCGGCCCCAGGAGCCCGCGTTTTCTCTCGGGGCAGCACGATCAGTTTCCCTTCTTCCTGCCCCCCACCCCCACCCCACGCCCCTCCTCCCCCCCTGGGTTCCTCCCCGCCACCCCCCTCCCCAGACCTCCACGACCTCTCCTCTAAAGGGGAAACAAGTCTGACAGTTCTGGGGGGCGTCTCAGCTGTTCTCTACTGCTCGGGAGTGGTCCCCTCTTCCAGATGAGCTGCCCCCAAGCCCGGGACCCCCTTCCCCTTAAGCTCTTGGCTTTTACCTCCTGAGTATATGGACAAGCCTTCGAGCGTTTGGAAAGGATCGTGGGACTTTGGGACTTTGGCTGGAAGGTGCGAAGGAGTGAGGCCAAAGGGAGCCTCGTGTCGCACCCTCCTCACCTCCGCGACCGTTCGAACCAGTAGGATGGCATGCACCTTCCCAAGAGCAGCGCCCAAGGAGAAAGTCCTTCCGGCACTCGCGCTGTGAGTTCACTGGCTCCATGCCCGACGCCCACCAGCACAGTTTCCAAAGACACTCTTCCCATCCATCTCTGTGTCTCCATGTTTTGAGGACGGTGCATCCAAGCCTTGGGGGGGGGGGGGG